CCCCAAAACCCCAAAACCCCAAAACCCCTTATTTCTATATTTGAGTTGAAAGATTACACCTAGTTGGTATATAAAATAGCATCTAGCCAGTCCTTAATCTCTTTTCTAACGGCTCTCAACTCTTCCGAATCACTTTCTTCTTCATTATACAGCTCAACACAATGACCACAGTTTTCGCACTGTAAGAGTCTAGCTTTTTGATTTAGAGCATCGTTGTCATCGAAAACACCTGCCCAAATCCAAGGATCTTCTCCTCCGTTTGTATAGAAAGTATTGGTGCCCTTCACTTTGAGAGCTCCGAACTCAACATTGGTCTCTCTAGCTTGAGCAATAATCTCTTTGCCGAAGATCTCGTTACATCTCTGGTCCCAATAGGCTCTTGCAAGGTGCTCTGATCTCATATGGATTCCTTCATAAGTAGTCTGGAAAAAGCCAAATTCTGTTCAGTACTGATAAGCCCATGCTCTTGAGGAATCTGGAACAATAACTTCAGTTTTGGCCATGAGGTGTCTGTCATAATAGCTCTTGTTGTCCTCAGGGTCATAGTACTTCTCAGCTAATTTGTAGAACTTTTCAATGTCTTCAAGTTCAACCAAGGTAGCGAGGAACTCGCACAATCTTGTTCTTTTTCCATATTGAACCTCTCCAACAAATATATCTGCAATGTAGAAGGCGAAATCTCCGTTTGTAAGAGTGTTAGCTTTGAAAGCAGCTTTGACTTCTTCTAAAACCGTGGAGTCCTGCCCTGAGAGGAGCTCATCAAGATACTCAGTCATACTCTGGATTGTCTCAGTACAGGTATGCGCATCACTTCTTGAAGTCGAGTTGAAAATTTGCCAATCATATAGTTCAAGATCTTCAATAGCATTTACCACAGCTGAAGAAGCCCAAGAAGCATCAGCAATGTGGGGATATTTGGCTCTGAACCAGGCAGAAAGAGCTCCTGGATAAGATCCTCCGACAACGATGATCTTCCTTTTCTCTCCTCCATTTACTTGAACAATAAGGTCGTTTAGTGTTGATAAGAATACAGCAATATCAGCAAGTGCGTGTCTTGATGTTAGATATCTCAAATTCTCAGTTTCAAGGTTATCAAAAGGATGTGAAGCTCCATAGTACCTATGCTCAAGGTAGACAAATAAGCCATTGTGCTCCTTAGAGACTTCAACAGGGAACTGTCTTTGTTCATTGACTCCACATTCGTATTCTCCTCAGATATAGAGGAAAATAGGGCCAGTCTTCTGATCAAAATGCTCTGCATTATACCAAAATCTCTGTGGGTAAAGTCCGACGTCATCATTGAAGTGATCTATTCAACATTAAAATCCCTAAAATTACCAATAATGTTGCTGAAAATATCCTGTTTGAACCCAGAGGATGTGTCTAGTTTGAAACCAGGTTGGAAGCTAGGCTTGCTGCAGGTAGCATAAGCCAGCAGACATGCTAGGACTACCTATACAAATGTTAGAGCTTCTTTGAATACAAAGATCCTTTCACAATGAATACTTACAATTGTTGCCTTCATTACAATAAAGTTTGATCAAATTTATTAAAATAATTGGGGTTTTGGGGTTTTGGGGTTTTGGGG